GACGTAACATTTCCATCACACGCTTGAGGAATTCGGCCAATCACAACGCACTGGATAGCTGGCCAATCAGAGAACACCTCGCTTTTTCAGACCGATGAGCTTTGTAAAAATCGATGCGTTTCAGAAAGGCGGGGCATAGAGGAGAAACAATAATGTACAGTATGTGGAAAATAATGTGTTTTTTGAACCTTAACCCGCATAAACACATTTCATTACACCAAATACACAAAATAATGTTCTTTTTAGCAGCATCATATGACCCCTTTAAGGAAATTTAAATAATAGTAGGAATAAACAGAGGTTGAATGATATATAGCATTGGCATAGCACCGTCTTTAGGTACTGCAATCTACACTACAAACGTTTGAGGTAAGTACGTTTTTATAATTGTTAATTATTTTATTTAGCAAGGACATATTAAATTGGTCAAATGTGACAGTAAAAACATTTATTATATTATTACAAATTAATAGTGTTCTTTTGAACTTTCTATTCATTAAAGGATCCTGAAAAAAAACTGTCTCACAGTTGATAACAATACAAAATGTTTCTTGTGCAGGAAATCAACATATTAGAACTTCATAAATAATGGCTGCTGAAAATTCAGCTTTGTCATCACAGGAATAAGTGACATTTTAAAATGTATTATTATAGAAAACAATAATATAACTTTTTTTACAGCACTTCCTATAATAGAAAAAAATCCTAAGGAAAAAAGGGGGGAAACTATTTCTTTTTTATTTTCTATATTGTTGGCTTTTACTATAATTTGTGATATTCTTCATTTGTTAGGAAGAAAGCATCTGCTAATGACTATAAATGTACGGTGGCCCTCTTGTGGCTATGCCAAGGAACAACAATAACAATGGCCAAAACTAACATTATCTCAAACTGAGTGATATTGATAAATTCTTATAAAAAGACTAACTCAATTCTAACTCAATTCTTGTATAAAGTCGACTGAAAATTTATGATAATATTCAATTAAATTTTCCTTCTGAAAATAATACTTGATTATGTTTATTATTATAAAACTTAACTATTTACTGAATATTCCTGTTGACTCCCTATTTTATAAAAGCAATGAGCCATGAGATTTACAGTCATTTTTACAGTACAGGTACAACCCAACGTTTTTGTTAAGTTGGTGGTAACTGATTTTCCAAACCAATTATAATTTTAGATATTACATGAATATGATCATGTGAATTTAAATTCTAAAATTCATATAGATTCCTCCATGGCCATGTACATAAATTCACATAGATTTATCCATGGCCATGTACATAAATTCAATATGCATACCATATTCAAAGTGTTCCGGCCGACAGCACCTGCAGGTCGCACCCCTCGTGGTCCCTGTTCAAACACGGCCCCATCATCTCTCCGTATGGAGCTCAACCAGCCCCCACATCTCCCAGATTTCTCCAGCAGTACGATCTACATCAGCAGAGGTGGAGTGTGGTGTACAGTGTTAGAGGACATTTGTTATTATTTTGACTTAAAATGTGTGCTGCTGACCTTCATTACTAATGTAGCAATGAAAGCAGATCTACTGAATCAAAATTTCACATTAAAAACCGGCAACAGCTTCAGCAGCAAATTAATGACCTTCATTGCTTCATCAATGATTACAAGCTGTCTAGATCCCGAGGCTTCAAAGCAGCTCTGAACCATGAGAAATGCAGCAGGGAAAGTTTATTTGCTTTTTAGGAAAGTTGAGTCTGTGGTGGTAAATTAACGGTTTTCAATTTTGACCCCAAAATTATTATTCTTGTGTACAAATTAAAATATGAAAATGAAGTTAAGAAGTTCAACTAAATGTTCTACATGAATTCATTATGCGACAAGAGGCTCTTGGCATGAGAAGAACCCTGATCTAAATGATAAAAACACTAGACACAGTAAAAGGTGGATTAAATTTTGAAGAGCCATTTATCTTAACATTTATAACTACCCCACTGTTTAAAAGTTTGGGGACAGTAAGATTTTTTGAAAAGAAATTACTTTAAAAAAAAAAAACTTTTTTATGCTTTTATTCTGCAAGAATCGGTGACAGTGAAGACATTAATAATGTTACAAAATATTAGAATAACATTTGAATGATTTCTGACACAGAAGACTGGACTAACAGCTGCTTAAAATTCAGTTTTACCATCACAGTAATAAATTCTATTTTAAAATACAATAACATAGAAAAGACTATTTATAATATTGTAATAATATTTCACAGTATTAATGTTTGGTGTATTTTTGATCAAATAAATGCAGCCTTATAGTGAGCATAATAGACATCTTTCAAAAACAAGAATCTTACCAATATCAAACTTTTAAATGGTAGTATGAATGCAGATTGACTAAAGATTTTACGGAAATTATAAGTGGATACTGTACCTTGGAAACATTAGGACTCTTGCTCAGATGATGACAGGCCGACAGACCCCCAATCCCCCCACCAAGCACTGCTACGACCTTCTGCATTCAGCTCCAAACACTACCACACCTGCAACAAGACTGACCAAAGTCTAAAACGACAAAGAGCGATCAGCGAGTTCATGAGTAAATAATATAACAAGTATTATTATACTAAAGCTACCGATAAAGCATGTAACCTGTCCTTTCCTGATCCAAGAAAGAAAATAAACATTAAAGCTGAGCCAAATTCAGCTACTTGGTCATAATGGATACTGAACGCATCTCTGACAGTTAACTAGACTTGAAAGATAATAATTAGGAAGGAGGGTGTTCAACAATTGTGTGGTGCCCAGTGGGCTCAGATGGGAGTGACAGGGTGGTGGCCCCTGATAAGGTGACTCTGCTGTCATTTATCATATTCAAACAAAAGAGGGAAGAAAAATGTTGTCCTCCAATACCAACTGGCAATTATCTGTTAACTGGACAGAGTTAAACTTAAATCTTAACATATAAATATATATGTCGAGTGACAAAAATATATTGAGGCAAGTCTGACAGCATATTTTACATGATGGTAACATCAGAGTCTCATTATAAAACAGAAACACGACAATACATCCTGAAAATAACACGTATTTCTTGTAGCTACTTAGAAAGATAAGACAAATAAAAAATGAATGACAATGTTTGCAGACTTTCTGACATACTTCACTTTCCTTTGCTGACATAGAGTATAAACAGGAAGACAAAATGTGGAAACGTTTGCCTAAAACCCAAAACAAATGCTAACTTAATAAATATAAATGACATTCATAAAAATTGAGTAAAAGCATTTTTACCTGCATATAATTGTATAATTTGGACAACACGGCTTCTGCTGTTAGTTACACAAGCGTCTTGTGTAGTAGTGAAGCGACAAGCGAGCGGCAACAGTAAAGAGAAAAGAGTACGAGTGTGTCAAAATAAAAGTCCCATCCCGTTTCTGTACTTGTTTGTATATTTACTCAGCATGTAATGGAATACTCAACCACTAGATGACAGAAAAGACCATGCCATTTTCCTAGGATAATAAGTAACCGTTTTCTTGCCTTTTACTAAATCGTCTTTTTCAGTTCAAATGACTGCCACAGATGTGTTGCATTTTGTCATGTCTAAACACAAAGCGCAAATATATAATATATATACATTTGACATACATGTATGACATACATTATACATTTGTCTCATATAGATTTTGGAGTCTTGTATTAAAAATATACCTCTTTTTATTTATTGCACTTTTTAAATAATATTTTAATAAAAATTGAACACATATTTGCTGCTTTTTACTTATTTATTGCTATTCTTATACTTATTACAACTAGGTTGGCAAAATACACTTTTGCATCATGGTGGACTGTGGGTGATTTTCAGTTTAATAATTAGACCCCCACTAGTTACATTAATTGTAGAGAATATTAATGTTTTTCTGTGATCTATGAAATACAAATATGTAAAAAAGAGAAAATGTGAGAAACAAAACTCTGACACAGAGTGTGTGTGTATTACGTTTCACTAGCAGGCCATACTGTCTTTGTGTCACTGAGAAGCTAATGGACCGTGCTAATTTAATCCCATGTGACACAAAGAGGCCCTAGAGCTCCCTGCGGTTCAAGAGACGGCCCTGTTGCTTTTGGTATTGCGGAGGCCCCTCTGACCACATGTCGTTGTTCTTCACACTCACACATACCTCGGCTCTGGGGTTGTAGGGGTACTTACCATAATAAAGAACTTGTCTTGAGCTGTGTAAGAACTTCATAGATGCTGTTACCCAAAACACATCACTTCATAAATGGAGATCAGGTTCGGCAGATTGGTCGCATTTTGTGAGCATGTGGAAAGTAGCTTGGTAAATGAAGTCCTCATGCAGTGGACCTGCTTTGAATTTTAATTCAATCATGTAAAGCTCTTTTAAATTTCATAAACAAATTTTTCATGGATTGTCTTCTGTGTTTTCTTGCAGGCTTTTAGTGTGTCACACACTTCGCACTGGACCATGTGGTAGCGTTCATTCGTTTTCTCAACCTGTTTACCACGCTATAAATTACAAAAAGTGCATGAGTGCAAAAACAAGAGGTGATCTGTTTAAAAGTCTGATTTATTGTTTGCAGAAAAAGGTTTTCTAAACAATCTGCCGATGATCAATTCCCAAGGGATGTTAATTCTTCTTAGCTCAGCGATCATCTTATTTGGAGAAACATTCGCTGTGCATTTCATGCATTATGGTACAGTGCTTTTAATTAGTATTAAGAGAATGGCTTCTCCTGATCTAATTACATTCAGCTGATACTACATATTAACTATCTGAGCACCATTTTATTAAGATAGTATAAAAGTCTCAATTTTTACAGTGTTGATCAAGCACCACGAGGACAACTAAAGCATGACTCCTTATGCTGGTCATAGTCTCTGCTCAGAGTGCATGGCATGTCCTTGCGAGGTCCTCCTGTGGATGATTGCAGGCAGTGAGCGTGTGCTGATGGGCCTGTAGAAGGGAGACTCATACACACAATATTTACAGTCCTCCCATCTCACCCTGTGCTTTACCCTGCCGTGCGCTGGCGATTTGGCCACTTTATGGAGGAACACGTCATAGTGGACTAACGGTTTGGACTTGGGTAGGATTTTGGCATTTTTGGGAAGGTGAAGCTCCATGTCAATTGTCATTCGTCCCTGGAAAGAGAAGACATGCATAGACAGGTGCACAAAGCACATTTCCATTGGTACACAATATAAGCAATACATGACCATCTTTCCTCCAATCAAATTAGTGTATAGTTTATAAGTGAATCATGAAATTCATCATGAAAGCTGTTAAAAACGTCACATTTCATGCCAAAAAAAACAACAACAACATAGAAATGATAAAAATGTTAAGTTATATTTTGCTTTAGGAAATTCTATTTTATGATCATCAAGATTTATTTAGACATTTATATATTTATTGTACCATATTTCAATATGTGTAAAATCTTATTTCAATGTAAATATACATGATATATATATACTGTGTATATATATATACTGTGTATATATATATATATATATATATATATTAATTTATCTAATTTAAATATATTCACAATGTATACATACATTATTTTCATTACAGTTCTCATTATATTCTGTGTAATTTAACTAATAAATAAATAAATAAAGTTAGCATAACAAAAATTTTTAAATGACTACATAATAAATAAAATAAAAGAATAAAACAATTGTCTGGATGCATTACAATAATGAGAACTGCCAGAAAAAAATAAAGTATTATTTTTATATATTTAGATTTTAGGGTGAAATGTGGCCTAGACGTGTTTCTGTGAGATTTACTCTCCTGCAACTGCACCTGCTATTTTAGACCTCACGTGCTGTTCAACATCAAAAGGACGGACCAAACTCAGCAGGACAAATCGCACTTGGGGAAAAGGGGGGTGTGGGAGTATTTTTAGCTTTTGGGCCATAATCTATCAGGCCCATTTCCATTATAAAGGCTTCTCAGCCCACATTCCAAAGGCCTCATTAATAATCTTAAGCATTCCTTATTAGTTCAGCGTGTTCTGATGAACCCACACAATCTAAATCCCCTAAACCAATGCGGTGAGTGTGTGTGCGTGCGTACGTGCGTGCGTGCGTGCGCGCGCACATGTGTCCTCGTATTTCTAATGGCCAATGGCTGAACTCTGTCTGAGATCTGTATGTCATCGTTCCACCGTCTCTGTAGCCAATGGGGAAGCAGGGATGCTGCATCCATGTACCCATGTTGGTGGAGGCGGATGTTTCCACACCTCAGTATGAAATGTTCTCTCTCATACAGAACTTGACGCAGAGGATAAAACTGATTCATTTATAATATACATACTGAGTTAAATATGTGCCAGCTGGAAAACTGTTTTCTGTCACATTTAGGTCAAGCGTTCTGGGTGTAAAGAAACAACGAGAATTGAAAGGAAATTTTGAAACAGCTTATGATGTAGTGCACTTCTGATTCTACAGTACAGTCTATAGTTTGTTTAGTGGCCCCAAAAGCATTTGGATACTTAGGCCTTATTTTAATTCAGAAATGCCATTGCATTAGATATAACAAACCAAATGTCATCTGAAAACACATGATTTCTGACCTTTTGTCAGATCTAACTTGACTATTTGTGCAATTTTTCTTAAACAGCTGGTCCAAAGGTCATTTTTATTTTCATTTTACGTATGAAGTCAGTTACCCTCAGGTTCACACAGGTGTAATTCATTGCATGAATAATGTGCATGATAAAACTAATGTATGAAATCCCAAAATAAGAAAAAAATATTATACATAATTATAAATATACAAATACATTAATATAATATAATATAATATAATATAATATAATATAATATAATATAATATAATATAATATAATATAATATAATATAATATAATATAATATAATATAATATAATATAATATAATATAATATAATATAATATAATATAATATAATATAATATAATATAATATAATATAATGCGATGTGTGTTTATATTTAATTCAATATAATATAATATAATATAAAAAAATATGCATAAATATGTATATGTATAATAATAAGGCATAATATAATATAATATAATATAATATAATATAATGCGATGTGTGTTTATATTTAATTCAATATAATATAATATAATATAAAAAAATATGCATAAATATGTATATGTATAATAATAAGGCAAATTATATATATATCCTCCACCCTCTCAGTTTTCAGCACTGGACACAAACACTGCTACTGACATTCTTTGCTCCACTCTAACATCTTGCTTATATAGCAGTACTGTCTACCTCTGACGCAATCCATTAATAGGAGAGGGAGTGTCTTTTTTTAATTACGCTCATTTGGTATGACTCCACAGCTGGATTGGACCGGCAGATCAGCGTTATTAATTAGTTCTCCTCCTTCTCTGCAAGTGTCTCCACTACTAAAACAACATACTACCACAACAAAATTAACAATTTGACAACAAATTAACAACTTATTAATGCTTTTCAAAACCTTTTCTTCTCTTCTTTGTCCTCCTCCACCCCCTCCTTCATCAACTCATACTGCTGATGACTTTGCAATATTCTTCATAAATAAAACAAGAACCATCAGCGACCAATTCTCCACACCACAAACTGACAAAAACTTCATAACCACAAATACTCCTTCTCTCTCCTCCTTCTCTCCACTCTCGGAGGCAGACGTTTCTAAACTTATCCTTTCCAATCATCCTACTACCTGTCTGCTTGATCCTATCCCCACTCACCTCCTTCAGGCCATTTCTTCTTCAGTTATACCCGTGCTCACTCACATTATCAACGCCTCTCTTCACTTTGGTACATTTCCCACAGCATTCATGCAGGCTTGGGTAACCCCACTGCTAAAGAAACCCTCTCTAAATCCAGCACTTTTAGAAAACTACAGACCGGTATCCTTTCTTACGTTCATTGCAAAGACACTTGAGCGAGTTGTGTTCAACCAACTCTCTATGTTTCTTGCACAGAACAACCTCATGGACAGCAACCAATCTGGCTTCAAAAGCTGCCACTCAACTGAGACTGCACTGATCTCGGTTACTGAAGCCCTGAGGCTGGCAAGAGCAGCTTCTAAATCCTCAGTACTCATCTTGCTGGATCTTTATGCTGCTTTTGACACAGTTAACCACCAGATCCTCCTGTCCACCCTCATGAAGATGGGCATCTCAGGAACCGCACTCCAGTGGTTCAAGTCTTACTTCTCTGGTAGGTCCTTCAGGGTGTCTTGGAGGGGTGAAGTTTCTAAGTCACAACTTCTTGCTACTGGGGTTCCTCAAGGCTCAGTGCTTGAACCACTTCTCTTCTCTATCTACATGTCATCTTTAGGATCTGTC